TTATTATCTATAATAGTTGTATGTATTATTTTAGATATAGAAAAAAAATTGTTTATAATAATATTAACATATCTTTATTTTATTATTCTAAAGCTGTACTATTTAGAATTAAGATGTAAAAATACTAATTTATGAATTATCCTAATCTATTTGATTACAACGTGATCATCACGTTATCAATTATAATTTTAACATGATAAAATATCAAAAGCGATACTAAAAATTACCCCGATTTCGATGTTCGATACTGTCTTAAGTATCAAAGGTATCGAGGTATCAAATCGTCCATACCTAGTATTATATAATAATAATATACATAGTTTATTTCGGTGTTCAAACTTACTTACTTACTTACCTACTTACAACTGCTATAGTTTTAGTTATTATATTATCAAACCAATAATATCAAAGCGAGTATATCGTTTTCTAATAGAAAACTTTTCTTTATTTCTCATGTTCTGAACAGTGAATCTATATAATAAAGTTTCGCTTTTTTCCGCGGCGGCTGCTAAGTATCTTTATAATGGAATGAAAAACGTATTCGTTCGTCGAATATAGAAGGATCATAGTAATACAATTTCGAATGCGCGTCTCGGTTTCAATAATATTCATTTTTCAATAAAATATAAATATACCAATTTTATTATATTTGTTTGTTTCGTGATGGGCCACGGATGAGGGCTTTAATATTATTTTGTTTAAATCGCTACAGCGAATGACAATATCGACAGCAACATAATATAATGTTATTATAATAACTGTAATATTTTCTATTGTTTCATTGTTATATTTTTTTTTTTTTTTTTCGGTCATTCGTTACAGTTTGGACAGTTGTGATATCTGTTCACGTGTGTCCGATTCGGTACCTAATCATCGTATCGCATATCTCATAATGTACGAGAAGGGAGAATGTCCGACTAAATCCGAATTACGTGTTACAATATTAATGTAATCACTGTTAACCGATAAAAATCACGCGTGTATTATGAAATGTGTTTTTAAACTCGAGAAGCTTATTATAAAAGTTTTTAAACCGCGTAATACCGCCGTATATTATATATTCGTACATTATGGTAATAATAATTAAACCACCGATAGCAAATAAGCGCAGTAAATGCATCCCCTTGTACGCAAGCAGCTCATTTTTTATTTTTATTTGTACAAATATATTAAAACCGAATTAGTATCTAGGTATATATATATATATATATGTATACACACAGAAATTCAAAGGATCGTGCAGAAATATAGGTACTTAAATATATTTAGTATGACAATTATACAAACAAACTGAAAAAATAGCCACACGCATACAAATAACAATATGAAAAACGAGTTTTACTCGATCACATTATTATAACACGGCCATAATACTCATTCTATATGGATATTCGATATTTGTACACCTTTACACGTTTACACGTAATAATATAAAAGAGAAATTAATCTGCGACGAGAAATGTTTTTAATTTTTCGATAAAACTATTGTGCATGAATGTAGTTATTGTTTTATTAGATTATCTTAAACTACCACGGTGTGTTTTTAAAATGCTCGAATAAAATGAAATTTCGTTAATTAAAAAAAAAAAAAAAAAAAAAAAAACGAAATAATGAAAATAATAAAATGTTTTATCACAGATAATAATGCTGGCTATATTAATATAACACATATAAAGTGAAAATGTCGTGTAAGCAGTTGCGCACAAAGTATTGTTAAAATGTTACACAACGTTCACGATTACGCGATAAATACTTGTGATAAGGATAATCGCTTTTAAATTTATTTGAAAACGAATTCCAATATCTTTGAGTTAGTTGATAAATTGTTTTCGAAATGTTGTTAAAATTGCCTACACGCAACTCCTTAAAATTGGATGTATTTACGGCCGAACATAAAAGCCTTTGGATAATAAAATCATTTATTTTTGGGATAATCTTTTTTTAAATTTGTTTGTTTATATTTTGTTTTATAAAATATTTTAAACCTAACCGAATTCTACACTTTAAATTATTAAAATAAATATAAACTCAAAAGTAAAGATTTATTTTTATATCATATTAATATAATAACGGGGAATGTATCAAATCGGTATAAGTATATCTCGTGATGTTTTAAATTCTAAGCATATCGAGGAATGTAACGGTATTACGGTGATTACGTATGTTGTGTGCGAATTGTTTTTCGTCCGTTAACCATTTTTCTACCAGGAATCTTGTTTCACGCAATACATGATAAGACAGTTATTTTGTAACATTTTTGATCTAGTTGGCGCATTGGGAATTTTCAACATTATTAAGTTTATCAAAATATGAGCTTGACTTCGTTTAGAACCGTTTTTCGTTAGAAATGATTTATCGTGGTTTACGCATATATAAATAAATTATTCTTCATAATATCACGTGCATTCCCAACTTTCCACCTACAGCAGTGGCCTATGCACGAGGAGTGTCCTGCGTCTACAGGTTATTTTTAAGGCCGGGTATAATATCACAGATACATATTACATCGAAGGTACAGTCGCATCTTTTGATTTAATGTATCAAGATACTTTTTATTACGATATTAAAACAAGTATCTTTGCGCGCTGAACGGTACAAGACACTTAAATATGTTTCGGTGTTATTTAAAAAAATAATAATAATAAACCCGAGAAAATGGTTCGCGTTAGCCGTCCGTACATAATTGGCGCTAAACTGCATTTAATGAACTTTGCGCTTTTATTCTCAATAACTGTAGGTCGCGGCGATTGTCGTTAACGGAACCCTATATCGCGTCGAACCCGCGGGATTCATAGTTTTAATTATGACGCCTGCAGCCGCCGAACACGAGCCCCGAACGGCGGTTATGTTAAAACCTAAACCGACTTGAAACACGCGCGGGGCGTTTGCGTATGCGGACCGACGGTGTGCGGGTGCACCGCACAAATGCAATATGTCGAGCACCGTATGACGGCGCGTTATTGGCGTTGTCGCCGTCAAGACGCGCGCGCCAGGTCGACCGCGCCGATCCGTCTAGCCGAAAACCCGTACGGAAATCCGACCGCGGCCGCTCCACACACGCAGCACGCCCGTGCAACGGCGTGCAGTTTCGCGTGTCGGGGTGGATAGGGAGAGGGGGGGGGGTTTCTTAACCGTGTTCAACGCGCGGTTTCGCGGCCGCCGCACCGTCCGCGTTTCCGCGCGAGAAATAATACAATTAAAACACCCGGGGGCCGCGGCGCGGCGCACGAGACGCACCGACACACTGGACACTGGACGTCGCATTACGCGCGGCTTAACCGGACCTAACCGAACCGTAACCGTGCGTTGCACAGCCAGTGTACGACGCCGTGTTGCGTGTTATCGTGTTGGACGTGCGCGCGTAATGCCTGTGCCGCGCGTATCGCATTACACGGGCGCGTGCCGCACCTGGTGCCGCGGCCGGCGGACGAGTGGACACTCGACCAGGCACGGAACGGCCCGCGCGCGAAACTTTCCGAGCAATAATACGAAACGTGACCGCGAAAACGAAACCGCCGCGCGTTACGTGAAACGCGACGCGGGCGGGCGGGCGGGCGGATCCCGCGCTGAAAATCCAATAACGGAGCCAGACGCGCGTATTAGTTATAAGTTGCACGGCGCCCGGGAAGTTCTGTTCGAAAAGAAGTAATCGTCCCGCGATTACGTTTCGCCGGAACGTGACCGAGCCGGGCCCGGGAACTGCAGGTAGTTAATTTCCCCGGAAAAATCATTAAAGTGATAATGCGTATGCATTATAGCTGTTGTAGTGTTATTACATTATAGCTGTTGTAATGTTATTACATTTTAATACAATATTGTCGGTTCCGTAAGCACCGTTGTTTTGTTCCTCCGAAAAACGAACGAAAAATTCCTTGACGGATCCGTTCTCGATAACATTTGCCTCGTATAAAAAGTCGTCCCGTCTCGTACGATACCTTCAATGGTCTACTATAGTCGGTTTAATTCGCCTGTCAACCGTCGCCGCTTTTATTCATTCAGAGTATTATAATCGACATTTATTTTTTATTTGTTTATTTAAATCCTAATTCGAAAAAGTGTAAGTACCGAAAAGTTATATTATCTACATAATAAGACTAATATGTAAATAATAGATCGATATTATGGGGTTTTTTTTTTTTTTTTAACACCTGTCGTTTCAGTATTATACTTACTGACAGTTGTTTACTTACGCGCTTTATTCAATCAATAATACTAGTTCAATTCGCAATGGCCATTGTAATAATTCGACAGTATTGCAGTATTTATTAGGCACCTGGTGCTTTATTTATAATATACAAATAAGTTTACACAGTACTATTTTGCATAATATATTAACAATAGAATCAGAGGTGAAAGGCGAATGACGAAGAATAAAATTATAACAATTCAAGGCCGAACATAACCGTATACATTTACTGATATATATTTATATATATTAAATCAATCATAGAAAACTTAATACAAATAAATAAGTAAAAAAAAAATATACCAAGATAATAAATAATTAAAAATGGAAAATCGTTTAACAATGTTTTTTTTTTTTTTTTGAAATTCAATTATTTCCCATAAAATATCAAATAATACTTGTCTCCAAACGACAAACCTTGTGTCGTGAACTTTCGGGGATCAAAAGTATCTTTAAACTACTTGTCATTTTAACTCTCGACATTCATAATAATAAGTCGAGTAATAGTTGAAAAAGTTATAAAACGTTGCACTATAATTTACAGTAAATAAAGTATTCTTCTTTGTTTTCTAATGATAATAAACACACAGAAATCATTATTTAATAATATATTTTTATAATATATACTTCTTTTAAAATCTTCGACGTAAGAATGACGTGGAATGCTTGAGGAATGGAGACTGAAGAGTATAACACTTAAAAGTTAAAGGAAAGGAACTATACGAATAAGCAAAAGTAAAATACAGAGAGTAAAAGTTTTGAGCAACAGGACAAGGGGTTGACGTGATAGTTTTCGTAATAAGAGTTTTAAGTAGCTATCTATATCTTGGATATTTTATATAAAAAAAAATGGTAGTTGGCTGTAACGAGAACGTGGAACATAGGATTAAGTGTGATTAAATCAAGTGAAAAAAAACGTCAGGGGTTTTTCGCAACAAGAGAATTCTAATGAGACTTAAAGGTAAGTTCTACAAGAGTATAGTGAAATGGACTATTTTGTATGGTTCAGAGTATTGAGTGGTATAGACAAAAGTATAAAACAGAGACTACGTATAGTGAAGATGAGAATGTTTAAATGAATGAGTGAAATGACGAGAAAAAATAGGATAAGGACCAAGTACATAAGATGTAACATAGGCATACTTTTAATAGTAGATAACATTAAAAAAAAAAAAAAATAGATGTTGACTGTTCTTTTTGACAGTGAAACCATTTCCCATTTTCAAATAACAACCTATAATAAAAATTTAATAACTAGGTAAACCCATACATTTTAGTTTAAATACATACATTTTGGTGTTGACATTTTTAATTTCCGTTAACCCGTTTATGAGATATTTCATTTTAAAGTTTGGATAGGAGGATAGTAGTTGAGCACTTTATTCAAACGCCACGCTATGACTCATATTATTTTAATACATATTAATGTAGTTTGTAAGTAAGTATTTGACAAAATCTATTTTTCTTTTCTTTTTTTTTTTACATTACTGTCCTATTTATCGTTCCTGACATTAATTAACTAGGTACCTATATATTGTCATGTCTCGTATCATAGAAATATTCAAATTACAATTGCAGACTTATGTATAATAATATTCACCAGTGAATTAAGTTTTAAGAAGTACAGAGAAAATTAGATTTGTCGCTACTCACTTTAATTTATTTTGTGCAATTTTGGGGAGGGTTAATGAGGGGCCTGCTAGGGTCAAAGAAATGATTGTCAATATATACCTACCTATCCGGTTATCCCAAATACACCGATGTATATTTGAATAATTAAATATTTATACACAAAGACAATGAACTAAATCAACATAATAGATACCTATAGGTAACCAACCTATTCTGTTCGTGACAGAACTACTATATAACGATGGCGCGTAATATTGTAATTGCATTTAAATTAACATCTTTGTGCTCCACAATAGTTATATTTACTTAATAACATTTGCATCGTTCCTATTTATTGGTGATGTCGGATCTGGCTACCTACTGATTGTGTTAGAACCACGCAAGCGAAACCAGTAGTTGTGTTCAGAATATTATCCAAAATCTTATTCGGCACCTGAACTAGGTAGCGTGGCCAAGAATTTTCAATTGAAGGCAATGAATTAAATAATAAACACGATTCGTGAATAAATCGTATAATTATATTCTGTTTTGTCAAACCCAAACAAATTTAATTTTTGAATAATATTTAAAAATCCAACTTAAGTTGATGTCGAATAATTGAACATAATTATGTTCAAGAAATCGATATTTTTTCCTTGTAATTTGGTTAAAAAATATAATTTCAATTTTAAATGACTAAATAAGCACTCATATTAATAAGTTGTACTTTTAAACGAATGGGGAGGGGATATAACCCTTAACGCTCTCCCTGTGCACACCAATGACTAAACCCTTTCACTGACTATACCTATATACTAACCTTAATATGATTATGCATAAGGAGTTTGAAAAATTCTGATCACTTCAAAATTTAAATGCCTTAATGCTATTCGTTTCTTCTTTTACTGAGTAGGCAATGCGTAGGATTATATTTGAGGTTAATATTATACATATTATTTTTAAACTCACATTATTATAGTAGTGGCGAATGGGGTGATACCGATCATCTGCTAATACCGGTCACTATCGTTTCTATAAAACTGTCATATTTGAAGTTATACTAACAAGTAACACTTTTGATTATCAAATTATGATAAGTATTGTTATCTAAACTAAGGCGTAATAATCATATGATCGTTTCCCAGCCAAAACTGTGATAACAATTCTTATCACATTTCACTGTTAGAAAATAGAAATCAATAATTTGAGCATTATCGTAATGTAAAATTTTTACGGTTTTTAAATTTTAATTTAATACAATGTAATCCAAAATACATACATTATAATACATATGATACACAAGATGAACACTTAAGTACACCACAGGTGAATAGAAAGTAAATAGGTACACATTTTAAAATTATTATAATGTAATGTAGGTACCTACCTACAAATATTGTTTGTACCTACCATATTTCTGAGAAAAAATTGCTTAGGTTAGTACTTGCCTATCTCTGAAAAATGGACAATCGGATATATAAATCATAATTCAAACTTAAAGTAGCCTTTTTGGCGTTTAGAGCGTGCAGCTGTATCTGTATATGGTATAGGTAACCTGCATGCTCAGTGGTAGGTACCACCTATGATTAAAACATTTAGTAGATAAATTTTTGTATTTAAATGATTTTAACCACAATATAAAGATGAAGATCTACATTGAAGAATCTACATAAAGATCTGTAACCCACTGGGCATTGATCCTCCATGATAGGATATGTACCAATCAATAAAAGTGTAATTTGGTAAATTATAATTAGGTATTTGTCTACTTAATGATAATGATATTATTATGCAGATAGTTAGTAGGTAAAGTAGATAGCTACCTAAATAATTCTTAATTTTTTGTTGTGGAGCCAATACAAATGGATGAAGGGCTACCTAAATCCTCGGTTGATTTCAATCATAGACCTATAAACCTTTATTATCAGGTCTATAATTTCAATTTCCAAAATACTTCGAAGTTGGTTTAGAGTTTTTATTTTAATTCAAGCTGATAACATCACATCATGTTATCAGTTTTTTTATTATAATATTGTTGTCTATTTTGTTATAATCACGATTGTATCCATAACTGTAGTGATAATGTTTATAAATTCGAAATGCTTATTGTCATGTTTAAAAATGTTGACATTATTTTTCAGTTTAAGAATAAGGAACTAATGTTACTTGTGTTATTCTTAACGTTCTATTAGTTTATATGTTTTTAATATTAGAATATTACAATGAGTGTCCGACTACTGTGTGTAAATGTGGTATCGGTGCAAGACAGTTTTGTTCATTTATCATCAAAGTTAGTAAGAGAACTTAACACTATATCAAATAATACACAACCGGTTAGTAAATCGTGGAAGATATTTCTGTTTCTGAAACATGCATAATAATTATATTGATGTGTTTTAGCTGTGTTTGAAAGTGATGACACTTGATGATGTACAGGCAGAATTGTATGTGTCTTGTAGTCAAACACCATATAATTCAAACGGAGATGAAATGTTCAACATCAGCCATGAATTTCTAATCACTCTGGGGCTCAAGGTATCACAACTAGTGTTGATTACAGTCGTCGATCACGTTTATCCATTAGAACGTATCTATGTCACTCCATTAACAGAGGAAGACTGGGACCTATTAGTATGTAAAAAAAATTTACTTTTTCTTTTATTGATTACAATTATTACCTATCTTTTGAAACAAAATATTTTTATGTAAAAGATACAGGTTTAACTGATATATTCTTTGTAAAATGTATTTATTATATTCATGCATAGGTTTTATCACTTTTAAGAAGTAATTTATAAGGTGTTTATTAAGAAAAACCTATTTCTTCAAACTAATTTAATGTAAAATAATAAAATAATAAGCAAAACATTTTTTTTAACTTTCAATGGTTCATATTGTATGTCTCAAATATCATATTGGAATAAATTAAATGTTTCAAATGGTTAGGAAAAATCACTTTTTGTGTTAGTATTTTGTAGAACCTATAATTATTATCATATATTTATAAGTGGAACTGTCAAAATTTCAGGGTTTGGATTCTTGTAGTTCAATATCCACAATATTAATATAATATGGACAACTGATCCTTAGGGGTTTTGTGGCTGATTTCTACCGCTGGTCGTCCGCGTCTTAGCGCTAGGCGCTACTTGCGGACGATTGTGGTGCTAGAGCAACGAAAACAAGCCACTTCCGGTCTAGGGTCTTCGGAGGGAACACCAGCTCTAAGCTTTTGTAGGGCCCGTACCTTCCTCGCTACCGGGATGGGTTCCCGGTCACCCAATAGGTGCAGTGGATAAGGTTTACTATCTTGCGCCAGTCCCACAGCCACCATGTTTCATCCAAGTTAGGCTCCTCTATCTTGGGGGCACTAAGTCTAGAGCGGCCAGGCCAATACGGCGTGAAGTGGGGCTCCCCCGCCCATGGTACCGAATAGATTTTATGTTGAACTCGGGGGGTCAACCTGAGATTGCGTCTCTCCCACTATTTTTGCTCCTCAGCCGGCTAGTGGTGGGCTTATATAATATGGACAATAGTATCTATATTGCTATTGTTGTTTCTAAACATATTATTATATTGAATTTATAATAATTTCCTCTGTGGTATTGTATGTTACAGGTATTAAATAATATCCCTCTTCAACATAGTATACTACAACAACTGCAAATAGTCTATAAAAATGAAATACTTCCAATTTGGGTTTCAAAATTTATACACTTAAAAATATGCATAGGTAAGGTAATCAAATTTTGGTTTGTTTGTACTTTAACAGAATATTTCATTTTTGATATTTTTTTAAATTTTAAATTTGATAATTCTTTCGATGCTAATTATGAATACTCAACCAGAATTTGACAATCAAACTTAGTTAAAAAGTTACAGCCATTACAGTTTGCGTTTTTAGTATTAAATGCGGCCGTGTAGTAGGCATTACGTTGTTGGTAGGATCAATGCAGAGTTTTGTTTTAATTAAATAAATTTATTTAAAAAATAAGGCTGTAGGTATGTCAATATTGTTATCGACACAAATCGTAGTTTATTTTCGAAAAAACAGTCCAAGAAAGCGAGTGACTGCTTATGTCTCCAAGTGCATCCAAAATGCATGATGTAAAGATTTTTTTATCTAACCAATGTGGTTTTGTTAACCAATCAAGGTTTATTTTAAATTAAAACACCCCGAGCAAGTGCAGAGACTGAGTGACCACTTAGAGGTCTAAAGTATGATAATATTCAATGAAAGTATTAAACATATTTTATTTTATCAATCAAAGAATAGTAGGGTCTATAGCAATGGTATGTAATACTTAAATGCAATAGGTACCTATAGTGGCTGCCACACAACCATGCATAATGCTAAAATCACAAACTTTAAGACTTTAACTAAATCCAACCGCCAAATCAACATTAAAATGTGCAGTAGGTTAAAAAAACATTTTAAAAGTTTAATGTTTGGATAAAATAGAAAAGTTATCAAATTTACGATGAGTTACATATATTATTGTAATACTAATGTGATTGGTTTTTTTTTTTAGGTGACCTAGGATTTGGTGATTTTCAAATGGGGTTATTAAAAGACACTACAGAAATAGTTATTAAATCTGATGTAATAAAACCTGGTATTATTTCTAACAAAGATAATTTAGCTAGTATTTTGCAAAAAAATATGAAAGATCAAAATGAATGTATTCCTCTTACAAAATTTGACAATCAGTTAATTTTTCGCACAATTTTTGTGAATGATACTTTATTAGAATTTGATTCTATTTATGATTATTGTGCTCTTATTTCTAAATTGCATATGTCAATGTTATTTAAAAATAATGACCCATATTCTTCTGGTAATAGTTTTGTTAAAGTAACACTTTTAAAAACTGAATTAGATCAAACAAAAAGCAAAGAAAATCAAATTGTACAAGTACCTTATTTAATTATACGGTTGTGCCCATTGAACCCATTTATGAATAATGTTGAAGAAATGGAAATTATTAATTGGCCAACTATCTATGTTACAAACACTTTAAGTAAAATGTTTGGCTTAAATATTAATTCTAAAGTTGTGTTGGAGCCAATTATTCGAATGGAAAATGAAATTTGTGATGTTCAAAATATTTGTATTTACCCTATAACAAGAAAAGTTAGTTTACGTTATTACTTTTTTTGTTAATTGTTTTTATTTTATATTATAAAATTTTTTTCAGTCTAATTTAGATGAAAAATCTATTTTAAATTGCACAATACAGCTATTAAAGAATGAAGTAGTTCATCGAAAAATGTTGGTTTTAAATAACAAGTCTTCACTACATGTAGTATACAATACAATTATGACAATAGATGTCATGGTTACATTTTTTCCATCAAATATTCCTTATATTTATCTCAATGAATATAATATTGGAATGCTTAAATTTACTATTAAAACTAAAGACATGCCTAATATTGTTCCTAATCATGGGGTTGCTAATGATAAAACAGCAACAAATCAGTTTATAGACCACTCAATATCTATCACTTTTAGATCAGAAGAATATTATGATATAAAGTATGTATCTAAAATCCAATGTAAATCTTTATCCATTTTAATAATTTAATTATTTTTAACATAGAATTGATAGGTCTATACTTTTAAATAATATCTAATTTCAGTTAGTAAAATATTTAACATTAATAAATTATCAAATTAAGAAACAATATTTGTTGTATCCATATTTTACTTTCGATGATGTCTGATGATGGTAGAAACTAGTCATAACTATTTTTAAATTTTAATATATGAAATTATATTTTTATAATACTTATGGCTTAATTTGATAATTTATATTTGAATATTAAACTGTTGATTTGAGCATTAGCACAGCTAATTTTAGACGGAAGTTAAAAAGTCATAGCACTGGTTAAACTCAACTGGTTTTAAGAACTATTATTTGCTCACTTTAGTGTAAATAAATTATTTATAATGTAGTAATATTTTTATTATGCACTAACTTCTTATAAATTATATTGGTTAAGAAACATATTTTATTGTGTTAATTGTGAATTAATGTAATAAATTTGTATGCAGGTGTTTCAAAGATATGAAAGAGACTGGATCTTTATGTTTGAAACTGGGTTTAAATTGTTACAATACTTTACCTCAAACATTTATGGCATATGATAATTTATTAATAACTGGTAAATAAATATTAACTATTATTATTAACTTCCAGACAATAAATTGGTGTTTATTTCAGGAGCTATTGGATCTGGAAAAACAACGATTGCTAAAATGCTTTGTCATGAGCTTTCTAAATGTCCATATTTTGTGAAAATAATTTGGATAAAGGGACGGTTTTTAGCAGGTAAACAAAAAATAATCTTAAATATTACTTTATGTTTTTTTTTTTACATACATAATGAATACTTACAGGTAAACTATGGGATATAGTTCAAAAAATATTAACCAGTCAGTTTCAAGAAAGTTTGTATTATCAGCCTGTGGTTATTGTAATCGATGATTTTGATGCATTGTGTCACTTAAATTCTGAACCAAATGAACACGCTGATATATCTAAATTTTATCTAAAGTATATATTTATGTATATATACATATATTAGGGTGATTCTAATCAGGTGGAACTGAAATAATTTTGTAAGATGCATTGTAAAAATAATTTTTGTACTTTTTGTATATGATAAGTCAACCTCTTTTGTGCTACAAAGGGTTTGAAATTTTGTAAACAAGTTTTTTTTAAAATTTTTAACATTCAAAAATTTATCAGAAACTTATTATTGTTAACAAGATTTCCTACATAATAGCTCTCTTTAATATTTCAGTAAAACTTACCAGTGTATATAAAAAACTGATTTAAAAGTTGATAGATTTGTAATAGTAAAATTCAAGATTATGTTAAATTACAAATCTACCAAATTTTAAATCGATATTGTACATACACTGTTAAGTTTCAGTGAAATTTTAATGGGAGCTATTGTGTAGGAAATCTTGTTTTCTATAATAAAATTTCTGGTACATTTTTTTTTATGTTAAAAATCTATGTAAATTAATTTAAAAACAACCCCATTTTTTACAAACTTCAACTCTTTTGACTCACAGGAAGGGCTTAACTTGTCATACACAAAAATTATTTTTATAATATACCTAACAAAATTTTGAGACCAGGAATTCAAATATTTTTACATTGATTTTCAACACCTATAGTTAAGGACCACCCTAGTATATGTTTATTAATATACATTTTAAAATCAATGTTGACTATGTGAACATTATTTTTCATAATTGTATTATAGGTCATTTCATTTGTTGTTGAGAATGATTGAAGAATATACTAATTATAATAACAGCATTCGTGTTATTTGTACTGCTAAACCATTCAATGAAGAACAAAACAATTTGTTTTCAAAAAAATTTAAACATGTTTTTAAAACTGTCATACAAGTGCCATCAATAGATAAGGTAAATAGGATAATTTAATGTATTTATTAAGTATATCAATTAAACATATTATCTTTTTAGGAAAATAGGAAAGCAATAATTTCAAAACGCCTATATCCACTTAAATCGTATAAGACTGATAAATATTTAGATGAAATTTGTGAAAAAATGGATAGTTACGTCATTCAAGATCTTATTGACTTCTGTGACAAAGTTTTATTTGATAATTACAAGGGTAAATGGTTTAAATATCATTATAATAGTATAACAATATATTAATTATTATTATATTAGAGTTTATCATATTTCGTGAACTATGTACAATAAAATGGTGGGCAGGCAATGAAATTTACTAATTTTACTTATTTAAAAGAGTATGTTTATCATATATTATACATCATGCATAAAGGGTGTCTTTTCATTTAAAAATCTACATTTTTATTTATATTCAAATCAACAGCACGATTATTTTTTTGTAATTGAAAAAACTGCAAAATTTGAATTAATAAAAGGTTTCTATAATTTCATTTCAGAGATAAGTCCTTTGTACTTAGTTTTAGAGTTTCTGTTAGTTTTACCAATATAATAATTATTAAAATTTAATTTAAGTTTATATATAGCTGTAATTAAGTATATATCTGTATTATACAACTGTACTATAACTTTATTGTAATTTATTTTTAAAGATTTTACCTACTTGGAGCTCAAGCACTGCATTTTGGAGAGGAATTAAATCATATGTAATACAATTCTTTGATATGTTTCTTGTAATATTTGTTTTATTATAGAAAAAACAGCAAATGATTGTTATTATTATAATATAATAATACTAAAGTATTATATTATTATATACTTTAGTTTTCTATACTCAAAAATAGTAGGTATTTTCTTAAAGTCTTCAGTACTATAAATTATTTGGTTCATTAAATCATTATTAATCTTGAATACCACTGACATTATTATAATACTAAAAATACTAAAATTAACAATATTAGTAGGGTTCTGCAGTATCCACACTTATCTTTTATACAATGTATACCATGTATTTTTCTTATGGGGTTCATATTATTATTATAACTTATATCAAAAATAATGTTATAAACTTGAGCTTACTCCACTTCTTAATGAACATAATTATCAGCATAAACTAAACATTGGCTATGATATTGCTTTTAATGATAATTATGATTTATAAGCCATAATAAAAATACAAGACTGTGTACAAAATAAACAGCATAGAAACCTACTAATAGTATTGTTAGCTATTGTAGTACCTATGAATTATAATAATTTATAACATTTCTAGTAAATTTGCAAAACTTCTAAATACTAATTTTAATAATATTAGTGCCTTTAAAACTAATAATAATTTAATTAACTCAATAAATTATAGTGCTAAAGACTTCATGAACATCTCTTATTTTTGACAATGCTAGTTTATTAACAAATTGTTTATTTTATCAATATATGTAATTTTAATATATTTTATATTGGTAAGACTAATAGGAACTTTTAAACTAGATAAAAAACATATCTCTGAAATAAAATTAAAAATAGCTTCACCTAATTCTAATTTTGTGAGATGCTTTAGAAAATAATCATAATATTAATTTTTATTTATTGGTGTAAACAATAACTTTGATCATTAAGATTTGAGTATTAATTCTGTACTGTAAGATTTTCTTATTTATAAAGATATTAAGGAATGTGCAAATAGATTTTCAAAATGAAGACTTACCAATGAGGTCAGTGTACAAAACTGAAATTATTCAGGAGAAGCGAATAACTATAAAATAAATAACTGAATTCTTTAATTTTGAAACATATTTGAAGTGTTTACATCACAAGAATAAGTTTTAATTTCAAACTGTTTTAACACAATCATAAATCATACTAACAAAAACTCTACTTTCACTACAAGCTCTGCTTAAAGAGAGTAGAAATTATTATTTTGCAAAATTTTAGAATATATTTATATTATGTATTATCTCTATTGAGACAATTGAATAAATTATTAGTTTTATAATTTAACATATTATAATAACTAAAATAGGTGAAAGTGATAAACTGATAATCAAATCTGTTTTGAATAACGCCTTTGAAAAAACTGTTCCACTTTCATTGCACAATGTTGGTTTATTCAAAGATAAAACAATAAATTTTTCTTTGATTGGTGGTTTAAAAGATGCTAAACAAACCATTATTGAAACAATTATATGGCCATCAATAGTAAGATTAAATTTCAGTAAATTAGAATTGCAATATATTAATATATTAATATATTTATTTATCCTTATTTTTAGCATTCAGATATATTTAGCAAATGTCCACTTAAACTTCAGTTTGGACTTTTACTTTATGGACCACCTGGTTCAGGAAAAACTTTATTGGCTAAAGCAGTTGCTGGAGAAAGCAATTTAAATTTTATTTCAATCAATGTCAGTATGCAACATATGCTTTAGAACTTTAATGATAAATATTATATTTTAGGGGCCAGAAATACTTTCAAAATATGTTGGAGAAAGTGAACATAGTGTAAGGAAAATATTTCAAAGGTAAAATTGTATTTAAAAATATATATATATGTATATATAAATAACTGACTTGTATAGCCTTAAATTTGTATACCTACTCACAAAGATGTTTTCAACTAATAGTATTTTTTTTATTTACTTGAATCATTTATACATGTTAAAAATAGAAATATTTAAAACTAAACCCAGGACTTAAATGCACCTAAATAGATCAATATGCCTTGAAAAAGCTCTTTGAAAATATTTGAAATCAAAAATTCCTCTTTACCATAAAAATGCATTAAATTTTGCTGTAAATAATATTTTTCATAGTATATTTTATACTTATTTTTAAAATTGTAAATTATCTTTAAACAGACTGTTGAATGAATAATAAGTTTAATAGAATAGCATGCTCACTAATATTAATTATTTATTACTTAAATAGTAAACTATAATAAATATAATATTTTTATTTAATATTTTATAGATTTTAGATGCTAATTATAGTATTACTATTCAAATTTTAATATTAAAATCAGTGAGCAGATAAAATAAAATAATTTTTATTTTTGTTTACAGAGCACAAAATGCTAGACCGTGTATTATATTCTTTGATGAATTTGAAAGTATTGCCCCAAAGTTGGTTTTCAAAATTAAAATTTATTTTGAAGATTTTATTAATATTTTTTACTTTTAGGCGTGGATCAGATCAAACTGGTGTTACAGACCGGGTGGTCAATCAATTTCTTACACAATTGGATGGTGTGGATACATCAGAAGGAATATTTGTAATAACAGCTACCTCTCGTCCTGATCTAATTGATGGAGCATTATTAAGACCTGGTCGGATCGGTATTAAATTACATTGTCCAATGCCCACAACGGTAATTAGTTATCATATTATGTTAAAAAAATATAAAATATATAATACATTATGTCAGCTTAATTTTGTATACAATTGCTTAAGAAAACTTAAGAAAATGTATAATTATTATACATTTATTTAAATAATGTACCGATTTATACTAAGCAACTTTATAAGAGAAAATGTATTATAGTTTTAATACAATTTATTAAAATTAACTTACAAAAAGATCTTTATTCATTATAAGAAAAGTAACTTTTTAGTAATAAATTATTTATTTTACTTATTGGGTATTATTTGAAAATGTAAAAATTTTATATCTATGTTGATAATATATATTTTTATAAAACCTTTTGTATGTTACACTATAAGATACCACATATAAAACATATACCAGGTCAGTAAATATGAAACCAGAATTTTTGTACAGAAAATACATGTTTATTGTATGAAATAGATGACAAATATTTTATTCTAAATATTGCCCATTGCTAGCTACAGATTTTTCTCACCTGTCTGGTAATTTGTGAATGCCTCTCCAAAAACACTGTTGATCTTTTGAGCCGACTCAGTCATTGAACTGTTTTTGTAAATTTTCATAAGAATTGAAATACTGCTTAGACATATCCCATTGATGCAAATAAATAGTAATCGGATGAAACCAAGTCTGGTGAATAAGTCACGAAAGTATTTTCCAACTAAATACCTCAATCATTTCTTTGACCAGTTTTGCTGTGTGATAGGGTATTATCATAAAACAAAATCCCTTGTCTTTTTTTGAAATTCTGGCCATTTTCTAGTAAAGTTTAATTTAAATCAATCATTTATTGTCAGTTGCGCTGAGTGTTAACAGTTTCAACAGGTTTTAGCAGCTCATAATAGATCACATCCTTCTGATCCTACCTAACACAGAGCATTGTCTTCCACCAACCTTTTCAGTGGTCTCTGATGGTCTTCGTTTCTCATTTCAAAATCACTTCTTTTGAATTTTTTAAACCACTCGAAGCACTGCGATTTTCTAAGAGCATGCTCACCATAAGCTTTAACAAGCATTGGATAAGATTCTGCAGCATTTTTTTCAAATGATAACAGAAAATTAATGCTGCATGCAAATCATAATTTCAAAACACAAAATTTGACATGTTCAATGTTATTTCAAACTATGCAGTTGTATGCAACTTATATTGTTATGAGTTGAATATCTTTTGTTAGATGTTAACATGGAAATAACGTCAATGATGCAGTATTGAAATAACTACATTGATAGCTAGAGCTATTTATAGGAAAATTCTGGTTTCATATTTACAGACCAATAACTATATAGACTAAAACATAATAATATTTTTTTTTCTATTAAATATAATATTATTCAATATTCACTATATTGTTTTTAACTCATATCCCTAAACTTTGTTAATAACTTTTTAATGCAATATGTACCTAATATTTTATTGATATTTTCAATTAATACTAAAGTGTTTATTGTTAAGATATATTTTAGTTCAGTGTAAATAAATAAAAATACTTCATTGTAAAAACAATATTCTCTCAACTACATATTATAAAAATAATACAAATCACATTTATCTTGGTGAATTTATTCAAATTTAAAATTAAAATAAAACAAATTTATTTTTTGTTATTAATTAATAATTATTAATACAGCTGTGATAATTGTAAGTGATAAGGTGTAAATTGTTAACCTCACAATATTAGATATTGCTCAAACATTGTAACCCAACACCATGTACTTTATGCCATTCACCAGGATTTATGCCTTACTTCCTATTAAAGGTTATGCTGCTTTACGTCAATTTAATTCACATAATATAAATGATCTACAATGGAAATGCTATTAAGACCCCTATGATTTAAAACTGATCAAAATTCATCAATTGCGGAATGGAGCCATTGGAAAACACTTTTTAAAAACTACCTTTAAGTAAAAGTGAAGGACAAAAATAAATTTGAGGTATTAATTAACTTTTTATCTCACTCAGAGTATGTTTCTATAAGTGAATGTCCCACTTATCGCTCAGTTATTCAAATATGCAACAATATCTACGTTAAACGAACCAATGAAGTTTTTGTCAGACACTTAATGTCAATGAGGAAGTAACCAAATAGTGAAACTATCCATCAGTACCTTTAAAAATACTCTCTAAAGACTGTGAATTTAGATCAGTCTTTGCTGCTCTCTATGGGGATTAATATTAATAAGATATGCTTTTATTAATGGCCTGATGTCCAATACCATATGCCAATGTCTTCTAGAGAATAGTACCCTGAATTCGGAAAGGTGATCGCTCAATCTTATACCTTTGCAAAGGCACAAAACAGTCTGAAGTTTACAACCAATTCCATTAATGCAATTGCTAAAGAAGTGACCATTGTAGATAATGAACAACCAGTAATAACAGCTATCAAGCAACTTGATTCTCATTGTTTCTTCTGCAGATACTTGCAGATCTTAAAATACAAGAGCATGAGCACAAAATCTTAAGTTATTTATATTATCAAAACTATGAACTGGAACCAACTCATCTTTTTAAAAATCTTGTGAAATGCTCACCAATCACTATTAAGTCATGTCGCTACTCTGAGGAAGATATAGAATTCATCAGAAATGAAGTCCAGACATTAGTGATTAGGATGTTGTGGAAGAAAACGCATCACCCTGGCGAGCATCAGTTTTACTAACCAAGAATGAGTGATAAAAACATTTGATAATAGACTATTCACAAATAATAAATTGATTTACCTTACTGGATGCCTACTGTCTACCAAATATTGATAAGCTGGTAACTAAGGTAGCTCAGTACTTCATTTTTAGTAATATAGACTTATGTAATGTGTATCATCAAGTAACTTATGCCAGGATAAGCCATATACAGCTTTTGAAGCAGTAGAAATTTAGTACCAATTTAAAAGTATTTCGTTTGGACTCTAATTAAGTGGCTTGTTTTCAAAGAATAATGGATACAATTATAACGGATGAGAATCCTAATGTGTACCTTGACATACCGTGAGTATCAGGTATGTTTTCACACTATTCAAAATGGATACAGGAGTCTTCCAATAAAATTCATAGTGTGATTATATGCAAATTCTTCTCAATGCCTCCATCAGCGGTGGCAAATTTTAAAAACCTCAAACTCAATATTTTGAAATCTATCATACAGATTATTGATAACAATCAATGTTTAGTTGTAACACTTTATGTCCACTTTATAACCATTTATGTCCTGACTGTCACATTAAGCTAAAATGATAGGCCAATAATATTTTTTTTCAAGGACCTTGAGTGAATGTGAAAGAAGCATTCATTGGTGGAAAAGGAAGTCAATAGAATTGTGGTAGCAATTAGGAAATTAAGAAATTTTCTTATTGGTAAGCATTTCAAATTAAGCACAGACCAGGAAGCTCTCTATTTTATGTTCAACCTGAAACATTCAAGTAAAATTAAAAACAACAAAATAACAAAGTGGCAATGTTACAGTTATGTTTTAATTTACAACCCTGGTAAAAATAACATTGTAGCTGATGCTTATTTCAGAGTATGGTAGTGATAACCCTAATAAACTATTTAACTTACACAAATTACTCTGCACCCGTGTATAACACAAATGTTTCATTGGATTAAAAGTAAATCTGCTCTTTTCCCTAGATGATGTAAAAACAATTGCCAAAGGCTGTCTAATATGTGTGGAACTGAAACCAAAATTCTTGACTACATGACAACATGACTACAAGAACAGTAATTTGGTTCTTTTCTCTTACAAGATCTTACAACATTCCTGTGCAGTGATGGTATAGCTACAACCTGAAGATAATGGACAAGTTGAATATTACAATGGTATCATATGGACGACTATTCAGCTGGCCTTAGAACGCTAAATCTGAAAATAACACAGCACAATGGGAGAAGTTACTCGCAGATGCTCTGCACTCCATTAGATCCTGATTATGGATTGCTACTAACTGCATGCCACATGAATACCTTTTCATGCATCTTAGGCGATCTGCAAACAGAATGGCAATCCCCTCTTGGTTGAGAATTCCAAGTATAGTGTTCATAAATCGACATGTACGTCCTTCAAAATATGATCCTCTTGTGGAAGCATACTCAGATTATGCTCTGGTGCTTTTCAAAAATGGTCGGAAATCCACCAGTTCATTAAAACATCTAGCTCCAACAGGTGACAAGTCACTTATGGAAGAACCAATACCTAAAGAGACTCCCCCTTTCCCATCAAGGAGCACTTGATAGCTCTGCTGACAAGGATGGAAACTAAGAAATTTCAGATCATCCTACAGAACCCCTTCAAGATGAAAACGTAAACTAGTCACAGAACCATGTAAATGACTCTAGGAAGTCTGGAAGAGTCTAGGAGTCAACCTAAACAATTGGATGTTACCTAATAATTACTATTATTCTTAATAGTTATTATTTATTTGTTTGCTTTATTCTTATTATTATTTAAGATAATTACTTTAATTATATATCTTATTAAATAGTTGGGTAGAATGTGATAATAATTGTAAGTGATAAGGTGTATATTGTTAACCTCACAATATTAGATATTGCTCAAACATTGTAACCCAACACCATGCATTTTATGTTATGCTTAAGTGAATTAAATTCTTGCTTTCTACTAAAGGTTATGCTGTTTTACCACAAAAGCTAAACTTATTAAACTATCTGTACAAACATAACTTTTTAAACTTATTTACAATTAATATAACAAATATACAATAGTTGCTATTTAATGCAGCTACAATAAAAAAATATATTAACATTTATATACAGCATAAAACCAAACAATTTTATAGATCTTTATATATACTATATATATATCTATATATATATAGATACTATATGATCTAACACTGGTATACATACTCTGTATATTTTATCGAATTTATAAATTATAGTTTTTTATTTTTTGGATAAAGAAAATTATATGTATGCTAAAAATGTATTAATTTGTATAATTGTATTTATTTTAGGCTGATAGAGAGGATATTTTAGGAGTGCTTTGTACTGACTTAAAATTATCTGAAGATGTGGATTTATATGAAATTGCTCTGAAGACAAACAATTTTACGGGAGCAGACTTAAAAGGACTTGTATATACAGTTTTCTCCATAGCAGAAAAAAAAATATCTAAAGGTTTGTGACCCATCAAACATGTATTCGTGAAATTTTAATGTATAAAAACATGTATCTCTCACTGTTATATTATTATTGTTACACCATGATAGACTTGTATTCTTCTTCTGTTGTTTTTAATCTAAGGATTGGTTTGCAGCAATTTTGGTGTTTTCTATGGCTGGCCTTCCTCTTAATTTCCTGGTATGATTTATATTCTTGATCTTCCATTACTTAGTCCAGTAAACTGATGGATTTTAATTGAGAGAAGGGGGTCATCAATAATTCAACACAAAATCAAAAAGATTAATACTATACGAATATTAAATGTATATTATTCTATAGGTATCATATTTTGATAAACCTAAGGTGTTTATTTTATCTTTAAAAAAAATTAGTATACCAATAACCATATTGTGTTATAATACCATGTTATATTCTATGATGTTAGTAATTTTCTGAAATACAAATATGAAAAATACTGTTTTTTACCAATTTCAAATTATATTTTTAACAACTAGAAAATTATTTCTGTTCATTATTTTTAATTTTCTGTCTTAACATGATGTCCTAATTAAAATGTTACAGTTATTTTCCTTCAAAGTAGAGGGAAATAGTTTTTATTTTCAAATTTTTTCATTTTGGAATCCTATAATTATTTTAAAATGTTTTATTTGAGTATTAATTTTAAAATGATGTTGATAGATTAACACTTTTTCTAAGCAAAACTACAACTGAGAACAATACAAATATTACACATTTCAGTAAGACATTTATTTTAAAAACTATTTACATAGTACATTAAAATGGCTGTTCTTTTGCTACTTATCATGCTTTTATAAGAATGATATTGCTCACAGTCTTTTTTATCTGCATGATACTGAATTGCTCTTCTGAGGACACACAAGCTTTCACAATTTTTTTTATTTGGTGCTAGTTTCCCCCCTGTTTTCTTCTTTTACATCATAAGCATTATCCTGTTTATGTGTTTGAGGATTTAAAACCTTATTATAGGTATCATTTGGTTTCTAATGTTATTTCAATAACTGGATTAGTCTTCAATGTTTTAATATACAGCTGGTCTGTACTGAGGCATTCTGTTTCAATGTGATTGTATTAATTGTCTGAGTTCTTAATAAGTGGGTTCCACTGTATTTTGTTTATATGGAAAAAAAACTCTTTTTTATACTGTATATGTTTCTTTGAATGTCTGCAGTTGGTAAATGCTGACAATCACCTGTTAATGTCGACATACACCTTCTAATTTGGTAAATGTTGAAAAATGAAAAAAGAATATAGATATTTACTAGTGAATGTTGCCATTTACATCAGGATTTTGATCAATGTTAACATACATAACATGGTTTTGATTAATATTGACATAAGTATTTGCACATAAATTATAGACTATAAACTATATTTTACTATTATTATACAATATAATATATAGGTACGTGTTTAATTTAATCAACTAATTATTATTATTATTAAACAATATTAAATTTGTAATATTAATTTAAATTATGATTATTTTACTATATAAAAATTTGAATTACTTATTGATAATTTTATTTCTTATTGAAACATGACAAACTGTCATGACATTTTGTGGTACATAAAATTCCAACATTTTTACAACCATTTTTTTTTTTTGTGGTGCACTTTGTTTTGCAATTAGATTGTGTAATTGTATCCTTGTCTACCAATATTGATGAATTTGAAACTGGCCTTAAGGAAATTTTTTGATCCCTTAGTACATCAGCAATTCATATTAAATTTTATTTACATAGGTACCAAAAAATTGCTGGTGTATAATTGATTTACAACACCATTTTTAGTAGCTAATTTATAAAATTATTATCTACTATATCTAAAATATTTTGAGAATCCATTTTACTACAATCAACATCTGGAATTCGAATACAGACAGTTGCTCCAACTTTAGTAGGAAGAAACTTGTTTTAAATAAAACATTTATACAATTATTAATAAGTTGTAAATTACCTATTACCTATTGCTTATCTGCAAAACAATTACCAACATTTACCAAAATCCTTATATAAATGTCAATATTCACTAGTGAATATTTACAAATTTAATCAATATGCCAACATTTACCAATGACTTTGGTGTATGTCGACATTAACCGGTGACATATATACAGAATGATTTTTTATTATGGTTCAATAATTATCTATAATGATTTTAGTATTTCATTCATTAAAAATAAATAATGATCTTACTTGTAATACTTTCATCATTTTGCCTACATTCTGTTTATTATAAATACATATTATCAACTTTTGATTTTCTAATAGCCCTTTTTCAAATCAACTTTGAAAAAAGAATATTTTTCTAAAACTATTTTGATTTAAAACTATAAAGGGTTATCTTCTACAATTAGACGTGAAATTTAAAACTAGGGTTCAGAACTTTTTGCATTTGCATGTTTTTTTGTAATGCTCGTGGAATGTTCTAGGTAAAATGAAAATTATTTTCATGAAGTAAATAATTTAAATATACAATTTTATTTTGCATATTTCATCATATTTTAAAGAAAAAAATTGTATGTACATTTTTTAGCATAATAATACATTTTTCACATTTTTAACTTTATTTGATCATAATTTTGTTGACTAATATGATGTGTTCAAACAAATTTTCTAAAATAGTTTATATGGATTTACAACTGTATGATTATTTTTATCCAACAGGAATTGAAGGTTATGTTATCAGCATATGATTTGTTATTTATTTATAAAATAACTATTAAAAACTTAATGATAGTTTGACAAAATCAGGAAGTGTACGGCATTTTTGTATAATACTCGGTTGATATTTATAAACTAACCTACATAATTCAGTGTATTTTTCAAATATTTAGTTTTATTTTGCGAGTTAAAAATTGTATGAAATATCAAACAATAAGTCAATACATAACAGAGTTCAGACAAAATATATTTTTTATTGGTAGATTTGTTTTATTCTGTGAGCTGTATGAAATGAAAGTAGGTGTTGAAAGGCAATTCATTGTCACACAACATTTAAAAACAGAAAAATATAAATCAGCAGAGCAACATCAAAAAAATTAGATTAAAAGTACACAACAATAAGTATTTATATCTAATACAGTCAAAAAATATTTTCACATTATGTGAAGCTCTATTGTCTGCCAATATTCCATTTAATAAATTAAGCAACTGTAATTTCATATATTTTCTATTAAAATACAAAGGAAAAAAGTTCGATTGGAGTCTAATTTTCGTTTAGGTTATTTTGATGAAATCTAAAATAATATTTTAACTAAAATTTATATGTACGTTAATGAAAATGATATGGGTTAGCAATTTAGAATAGAGGAAATCATTGATCTGATCATTTTTGGTACAAAAATTCCCCAACCCTGTTTACAACTCTTCCTTACCCCATCCTTAGGAGGATCTACATTTTAAATTGTTATAAAATATAACGCATAAATGGTATATACTATATTATTGTTATCCATATAAATATTTTCCTATAATTATTCATATATTCAAATTGTATTGAAAAAAGTAGATCGGTATCCCCCAATTAATTAAAGTTAATATTTTTAAAAATACCAGTAATAATAATTACAAAATTAGAATCATATTTTCGACTTTTTTATGCCTTTTATTTCATGTAAATTGTTTTTTTTCAGTTTGAACATTTTAATTGAGTATGACTTTCTGAAATATTACACATTAATATTATACAAACCTGGCAAGTTATTAATTTTTTTCAACTAGTTAAAGTTAAGTTACTTTAATATAAAAACAAATAAAGCTAGAATAAAAGTTGTTTTCTAAAATTCCAATTTATTATTGAGAATAAGTAACATAAGATAGAATAAAAGTTAATTTTTTTCCCAATTAAAAAAACTTGAACTAAATTATTTGTGATAATATATCAATTTAATTAATGATTTAATGAAATGTTTGAAGTATTAATTTTAATTTATAATCATTAGAAATATCAATATGAACAATGTATAATGTACATTAAAATAAACTACTAATTATTTAAAATTTGTATTAAATTTTATTTTAAGTGTTAACATTTCTATTTATTTTAAAACTATAGTTGTAATTTTTTTAAATAAATAGGCCTGTTGTTGAAAAATAATTTCTGAAAGCTGTAGGTACATTAGTTAAAATAAGAACTTATAATATGTTATTTATTTGTGTTGCTGTATTAAAGTTAGGTACTAGGTAAATACTAAATAGTCATTTTAGTGTATTAATTTAATATGATTGGTTAACTAAACTATTATATAAAATAAATAATATTTCGGGAACTTTTTTATTAAATTCTGAGTGTATCAAAGATTGTATTGGTTTTACATAGATGTTTATTTTTTTTTTTAATTAAAATTTTTTTTTTTATAATGTGTACAAAAATTCTACCAGAAATCTTTCTCTGATTTTAATGTGTAGCACTTTTTCTGAAAGAAACTGGATTAGGAAGGTATCTTAGGGAGGTCATCTTTCGATTTACTCAGGATTTTTCTCATAAAATAGGATGAAACATCATAATTTTTAATTAATAAATCAATAAATTATGTTTTCTACTAGAAATATTGCTTAAATTAAAATATGGAGAAAAAACCAAGGAAACTGGACAAATTTATAAAATGTAGGTGTTAGTTAAAAAATATTACAACCTTTTTTTTTTTCTGTGAACAACTTTTCTACCAATAATTTTGCTCCTATTTACAATGATAGCACTATTTCTGAAAGGAAACCTGACTGGGAAGGTACTTTAAGAAGTTTATTTTTTTATTTTTCCTAGAGTTTTCCCAACAAATAACAAAAGCAAAAAGAAATATGGGAAATTGAGTAAATCAGTATTATTATACAAATATTATTAAAGAAAATATATTATAATGCTTTTTAATTATTTTAATATAATATGATATATATATTGTTGTCAAAGCATCACTATCAACTGAACTTCAGAACCTTTTTTAGTCGCTACACATTTTTAAATGTGGTGAAATCACATCAGTGGTTTAAAGGTGTAGACAAGTACAAACTTACTGAGTAAGTTTTATCAAGATCCTATGCCTATTATTTCTGTAAAACACCCAATTTTATTAAAAAACAACTATGATTTAAATGCATCTTCAGGTCCTATATTGCTGTTTTACTTGTCAGTACAGTAATATTGTATTTTAGTTTTTTTTTTTGCTTTTTTAATAATGTTGATAAAATATTTTCTGCTTTTACAAATGCTTGGAATCATGATTTGAGGTTTCTCGCAGTTGTTTTTATAACAATATAAAAATATACACAATTCCAAGGAAGGTTTTTTTTATAAGCATTTAAAATTTAAATTTTGATAAATATTCTCAGCAGTTCACATAGATATCTTTTATTTTTCTATTTTTATTAATTGTATCCATACAAATTTCCAAATATTTGAGATGAAATAACACAAAACACTTTTATTATTTATTTTATAACTAGGTTGAAATATTTTTCAAAACTTATTTAATTTAATTTAATCAATTTAATCAAAAATTTAATCAATTAGTTTATTGTTTTCAATAGTTTATGTCACACAGGCACAGATATAAAATGTACCTGTATATCTTCCTAACTTCCCTCTTATAATAGTTGGCAATGTATGTCAGCTTTTAAAAACTAAACCTTTTAAAAGTTCTATATTTCATTATATTGAAACCTTTATTTTCCTGCCTCATTTGAACCCATATTGTTACTACACCTCTGCACGCCATCTTGCATTCCTTCTTTTCCTGGATATATTATGTGAACATATTTGAGTATAAAGTCTAAGTTACTTCTGTGTCAGTCATTGTTTTCAATGTACCTTACAGTTCCTGGTTTATTGACTTTAGTAATATAATCACTACTTTGATCACCCCCTTATGGTTTTTTTTTCAATGTATCTATAATTTCGAAATAGTATATTTATTTTTATAAGTTTTTTGCTTGAAATAAAGTATTTAGTAATAATAAAATATTGCATTTATAAAAAAATAAAATATTCTATACACGTGGTGTGACTAAATACTGATACCCCTCTTCCTCATGACCTGACATTTATTAGATAAGAGCAAAATTTATTATCACCTCCCTATGTGAGAATTTTATTATTAAGGGTATGGGGTGCTCTCTATATAGAAAGGGAGTTGATTTGCAAAATTAAAAAAAAATTGAGATGATTTAATAACTAATATTATAACTAAAAATATTGCTAGGCTTTTTTGGTTTTTTTAACATGATTTTTGATTGTTGTATAAAAAAATAATTTCAATGAGATGGTTAAACATGGTGATTTTCAACAAGTTTTTTGACATTAGGTTCGATGTTTGTTAACATAAGTCGTAAGTCTCCTCTTATCTTCTTTGTAATTAAATCTGTTACATTGGTGAACACTCGCTTGACGAGATATGAGGAAGGAAAGGTTATTATTAACCTATTATTATTATTATTAAGGTTATTATTAAGGGTACTATTAAATTTGTTTTAATGAGAGTCCAAAATAATAAAGATAATAAATTAGAAAACAATCAAAGATAAGTTTTTGTGCATTGTTCAACATAGTACCTATTAGTGATTGATAGCTATCATATGGATTAGTATGTATTATTTTTAGGTCGCCTCATGTGCAACGTTTTTGCGTGTACACACTCTGCCCTCCTATCACCCAAAACTAGTTCACCGCCTCTCGGTAACCCTTCACCGCCCACTGGGCGGCTATATCGCCCCGTTGAGAACCACTGGTTTAAATGATCCCTTTTTTTTTTCTGCTTTTTCATAAAAAAATTTTAGCAGGTGGTATTTTCAGTTTCTAAACATGAGTTTAGAACATTTTATATTCCTGGTGTGTCATGTAGTTACAGTTAATTTGATTGGCAAGGATATCAGGCGTGTAGCCAGAAATATCCAAAGAGGGTATTATGAAAAGTAATAGTTTTAATTGAAAAATCTTAAAAAGACATATATTACATGATGGGTGGGCCACTATTATAGGTGAGAAATTGGGAATATAGTATATAGAAGGAAATTTAATATATAACACAACGATTAATCATTGTTAACGAAAAACGATTCTGAGCGGAGTTCAGTTATACATGTTTTGAAAGTCATAATTTATATCATTAGTCATGTCATTAGTTATAAAAAATAAAATACTATATAAAACTAAATTTTTTTTTTTTTTTTTGAACACAAAATATGACTTATAATGAACCTTTTAAAATTGTCAAGTATTTCTGTTTAGTTTTAACATTTTTATCCACAAAGTATGTACAGAATATCAATTACTTAAAAATTTGAATTATAAATATGTATAGCTGGCTCAAAAATGGCATAAATGTTTTCCTAGAAAAGACCACTTTGATTTTCTCTCCGTATTTCAACTATTTACCTATAATTTTAACAGATTTAAAATTAATAATATAATAGCATTATTCTGGTATATTTTCTCGTTTTTTCCTAGGTTTTTTCTGGCTTTCCTCAATTATTATAAAACTACTCTTAAAATTAAAAAAAAATCTCCTTAAAGTACCACCGCAGTCAACTTTCCTTTCAGAAAAGGTGTTACACAAGATAGAAAAGTTGTTCACAGTATAGAAACATAAAAAGAAACATCATTGTAAGACCATAACATTTTTTGCTCCACTATGATGGTTTTGTCCATCAAATTTATTTACCTATTTGTTTTATCATAGTTTTTTCAATAATCAATCTTTTGCATCATACTTTTTTATAAAATATGAACATTTTTATGTAATTATATTAAATATATGCAATTATTTATGTATGGGAGTATATCCATATTGTAAAATAATTTATCTTGCAAAATTGTATTATATACATTTAATAAATAAACACATTTAAGAGGGTAGTGTTGCTATGCCACTGAAGGATATATATGCATACAATTTGTAACATTATTGTTATTAAAATTATTTAATTATAAATTCGTCACATTTTAATATTATAAAATATTACTAATAATTCAAATATTTATATTAAATGCACAGGTTGATTTTTTTTATCATGAACCAGCAATTATCTCAGAGAATTTTAAGTGAATTTGATTTCTGTTTTTTCTAATGGTTATGAAATTATTTAAGCTTTATTTTAAAACAATTAAAAATTGTTTTAAAATAAAGCTTAAACAATTCTATAATGATTAAAAAAAAAAAAACAGAAATCAAATTCACTTGAAATCCTTCAAGATAATTGCTGGTTCAAGATAAAAAAATTACACTGTATTTTCATAATAGAGCCAATATTATTAAAATAAGCATACTAAAATATAAGTAGTGCTTAAAGAATTTTAAAAATGACCTACTAACTGTTTACAAATTAATATTTTAAATCTAGATTTCTGCAAATAATAATGATATACTAGGTTATGAAATTGTTTTACAATTGTATACATTAATTAATTAATTATTATTTATTGATTAATAGTTATAGTTGATTGTTTAAAATGCTTATGTTTATAATATATATTTTAAAATCATAAATTCTTGGTTATAGATATGAACAATAATTTTTGTTTCATTATAAATTTTAAGGAAAATCAAATTAAATTGTTTCTAATAATATTTCCATTTGAATATCATTGGTTTAACTTTATACCTACATAGTTTGACAGTCAAATCAGTTTCAAAATGCCATTATTTATATCAGTTTTCATTCAGTATATTATTATTCATACGAACTTATTATTTTGTATGTAAAAAGGGGGTTTTCTATTATTCATATACCTACCAAACAACCGTCATTTTACTTTTTTGACATACCTGGAATCTGATCTGAGACATTTTCTTTATGTATAGTATTGTAATGTTATATAGGTACCTACTTCAAGGAAAATGTTTGACTTTTTAAATTCTAAAAAGAATATTTACATAAATAACATATTTAAAAATCTTGTTATTGCAGTTACAGTGTATTCTCACTTTCTCACTTTTTAGTCTGAAGAGTTTATGCGACAACAATACACTGTTTCCATAACAGACTAATATTATTAATTTAAAAAATATATAATATTAGATAAGAATATTTATACCTAAACACATATAAATATTATAAGCACATACTTATAATATTATAACTTACCTAATTTGGTATTTAAATTAAGTAAAAATAAAAATATAAGTCTATAAACTTATAAAATATTATAATATTTATATGGTTTAAGATAATTCAAAGAGAAGTCAATATTATTAGATATAGATTTATTTTGACCAATTGCAACAAAATTCCATAGTCTGAAGGGGAGGGGGTATTTTTTAAAACTTTCAGGTTTCTATAATTTTACAAACAAATTTGATTTATTTAAAAATCATTATTATAATAATGCTGTAGATTATATATGTTGATATTACTTATTTAATTTTTTTTTTTCAGAACAAGCTGATTCATTGATTTCAGATGTAAGTATTAATTGAAAACTGTAATTTTCTTTAAAGTTGGTAATTGACATTATCCAAAATAATACACTATTAGGTCATACCAGTTATAAGTTGCAATTAGTAGGTCATTTTTCCAATTATAAAATTATATGTATACGTGCATATAATAGTATAGTTATACCTATCACTAAAACTTAGTAGCATGATTAAATGCAAAATGGAATATTTTATGTATTATGTACAAATTCTTATGTTCCGTAACCACCTAAAATTGACTACAGCAATCCTCCACTCTACTCTGTTACTTGTCTCTTAATATCTTCATATGAATCACCTTGGTTCATCATAATTTGTAAAATAATATTCCAACTATGATTGTCCCCTATAATTTTTTCCATTTCACATCCTTTAATTATCCAATCAAAAAAATAAATGGATTGCAATAATCAATTAATTCCTTCTTTTCTTTAAAACTTTCCTTGACATTATCTTCAATACTTCATTCTTGAACCATGTCCGTCCAACTTATATTGAATATTTTTCTGTAACACCATATCTCAAAAGCTTCTATTATTTGTTTAGACATTTTTAGCAGGGAAGTAGGAGCTTACATTTTCTAGAATTTCCAACCTTATACTGAAGCAGGAATTTAATGTATACCTGTACGCAACGCTTACTTTTTGCTTACTCAAAACGATTCTCAGCTGAGTTTAATTATTCATGTTTTAAAAGGCTGTTATATTTACGATTATAAAATAATATATTTCGTAAATTTTCCTAGTTTTTCCCATTTCTTATGAAAACCCCTGGGAAAATCAAAAAAATTACTTCTTTTAAGTATCACCCCAGTTAGATTTGCTTTCAGAAAAAGTCTTACATTTGAAAATCGGAACAAAATTTCTGGTAAAAAAGTTGTTTACAGAAATAAAACATAAATAAACCAATAAAACCAATACATTCCTTGCTTCACTCAGAATCATTGATTGGATGTGATAGAGGAAATTAAAGCCAGAAAATAAAAGAACCCCCAGATCTTTTTTATGACTGGTCGATGCAAGATTAATATTGTTAATCGAGTATGTGTGACTAATTAATGTACGAGATCTGGAGAAGAATATGGACTGGCACCTGTTCACGTTAAAATTAATACCAATAGCTTCAAAACAAATAGCTAGAGTGTTAAGTCCGTCCTGCATTAGGTGACAATCTGAGTCATTGGTAATTCGCCGGAAAATGTTTAGATCGTCTGCAAAAGTTAGAATATTACAATTACAATATATTTGTTTGATACCATTGATAAACAGTGTAAATAGTAGGTGATAGGTGGCCTCCCTGAGGAACACCTAAAGGAATAAAAGAGATATCAGATTTACATCCATTAATTTTCACCCATTGATACCTACCATATAGATATGATTCAAACCAAGTCAATAGTGGATCATCAAACCTAATCTTACTGAGTACGTGAAGTAGAATGTTGTGATCGACTTTATCGAAAGTTTTTTCAAAGTTCGTAAGTATAACATCAACCTAGTACTTATTTTCAAAAGCTTCAAGAATAAAATTATCGAGGACCAACAAGTTCATCATAGCTAAGTGCTCTGGCCTAAAATGTTACTGTTCATCAATAAGAATCGGATTAACTGAAGGCAGAATGTTTTTGAGTACGAGCTTTCAAAAAGCCTTGGAATATGGCCTAGGATTGAAATTGGCTTGTATTTTCTGACACATGATTTATCCTCGGATTTAAAAATGGGGGAACTTAGCTTCCAGATAAACGGAAATACCCCTTCACCTAATAAACAACTATAGATTTGCCAGAGTAGGGCAGAAAAAAAAGATTTAAGATTAAAAAGGAAGCTTCTTAGAAGCCTATTGGGTTCTAAAGAATTCGCGTTTTTTAACTTATCAAGACCAGATTCTATATCAGCAATGCTAAAAAAGCAATTATTTGGCAGGTTGTAACACTGGTGGGAAAGATTAGCTTTACTCTTGGACGAGGAAACAGAGTATAGTGTATTGAAGAACTTAGAAAATAGAGGGAAATATGTTGTAGACTAGAACTAGAAAATTCATCTAAGTGGACCGTGTTAGGACAGTACAGTATAAACCTTCAACTGAAGCGGACGTACTTTTTAGCGGTGTGTCACTTATCGCATTTTTGTTGTGTCTACCGATTGGTTTGATTACTCGATAAATCTAACGGCCGGAACATGCGTCCAAGTACTACTTCATCTCGTCTACCACAGATAACCTGTCCTATATTTACTTATCGGGGTCAAAGAATCGTCTTTTCAATTGTGGTACTTTCTGATAGTGTGCATTTGTGGTTGCATTTTGTTTATTTTACGGCGTCTACTTTCACTTTTTCGTTTACCTGGTTGCCTACTTCTCGTCGGGCACGGTATTCCCCTCATATGTGAAATAACTATTTGTATGCACTTCTCCTATGGCAAGCACCTTGTGCCCATTATCACCGCACCTTATCTAAAAGTATCAAGTCTGTTACATGTAGTACTTGTTGGCGGTCCTTCCATTCGGCAAAAATGGCGAAAATAGCATTTTTCAGCTCGCCTTCTGCTCATTCGCCCAAAATAAACTTGGTGTGCCACTCATGTCACTCAATCGGTCAAAGAGCGTTGCCCGCCCATTCAAAGCTATGTTTCCTCCAACCTCTTTCAAATGATTATCAACCACTTCTCCCATAAATGCTGATATTATGGCTGCAATCACAAGTCTAGAAGTCGCAAACCGATATCATTAGTTCATATAAGTAGAGCAAAGAACTAAAATATAAATAATAAAACTAAAGAATTTACAACTCGCTCTTCTCAAATCACTGATCTAAAGCAGGAAAATGCATTGCTTCGTGAAGAGTTATCTACTCTTAGGAATAGAGTCTATATTGAAAGCGGCACAAATGTCTCAGCTCTTCATTCACACTTTAGCCTCCTAACTCGGGTAATATTAGAGACCTAATCGTGAGTGCTGCATAAAGAATGTTGTTATTCGTAGTCTACCCGTGTATAATTCCGCTATTCTAGCCGATAGAATCTCTACTGATCAAATTAAATTATTTAACCTATTTTTAACACTGAATATTTCCCTGTCATCTTATTCTAAATTACTAAGAGTGGGTAGGGTAGCTTCCGGCACGTGTTCCATCAAAGTAATTTTCAACTCTAGTGAAGACAAGACTATAGTACTGCATGCTGTCCAACGTTCCGAAAAGTCCTACTAGTTGACCCAGCATATAGTCATCTTCCGTGATAAAACTAAGTAGGAACGTGACCTATTCCGTGCTGGTTATGCTGACTTGGAGCGCAAAAGAGCTGATGGTGAATCTGATCTCCTAGTTGCCCATGTCAATAGGATTCCGAAGGCCACTAGACGTCCATCAAAAAATGAGTAGTCTCCACCTGTACCCAGGTGCCCTTAGGCTTCTAGTACCTTTAATTGTAATGTTACCAAATTTAACTATGTATTTATTTGTTTGTTTGAAACCTGGATGTGTAACAGCATTAGTGACTCGGAACTTGCCTATAAAATTTCAATACATTTAGATGTGATAGGAACACCATACCATCTATACCAACAATCTAAGTAGAGGTAGTGGTACGCTTATTGCTGTGAGCAAAGATATTCCCTCTTCCATACTAAATATTCCTGATAATAATGTTGAACATATATTCGTAAAAACTTCCATTAATAAAAGACAATTTATTGTAGGCTCCGTTTGCATTTTACGAGTTATATATAGTATCAGTCTAGTTAACTATCTCGTCTAATAACGATTACACTCTAATCCTCTGTGGGGATTTCAAACTTCCCAATATTTCTTGGTATAACGATGAGTCTGATCTGTCTTATTTCTCGGTCGAGTTACTGTTAGGTTAAGTTCGGTTAATAAAAGAAAGCTCATGCTCTCTTCGAAAAGTGTAATAACTCACTTTATTATACACTGTTCTCTAATTTCCGTGCCCAATATAAGTTAGAGTCCAAAAAGTGTCGTAAAGACTACATTACCCGTACTGAGACTAAATTAAACAATTTTTAAACCTTAAAATAATATTGATATTTAAAAATTAATTACTACTCTTTTCGGTGAAAATTTTTTATGAAATTACACTTATCAGTAATTTGATTAAATACATTTGCATAAGTTTCAGATATATTATTGGGCAACAAACAAATAACCAATGGAATATTTTCCGAACCAAAAGTATGCTAGTTATTATAAACAATAATTATTTTTCCTACATTATATTCTAAAAATACAGCTTTCTTATTATTTTTAAGTAGAAATCTGTTCTAATAAATTGTAACTCGATAATAATTTGTCTGATGTATCACCGTGACTGCTGTGTATAATAATTTTATTTCGAATTATATCCGTGCAATTTTCGATTATAATTTATATTACGAGTGTAAACATAAAAACACAATAATTTTCATTTGTTTTAATAGTAAAATTTGTCTTTTGATTCTAGTAAAAATATGAGGTTGTCAAAAGTTGTTAATTAATGGTACCAGTTTTAAATCGATTGTAGAAAGAGGGAGGGGAGCAACTTTACAAACGTTAACCCTGCTATACACAGGAACTTTAAAAATATAAAAACATTTGGCTTATCGTTCTAATTATTTCTACTGTCTGTATAATGTATTAGTGACGCAAATAACCTTAAATTTGTTATTTATCGAAATTAAAAATACGCAAGACACGAAATAATATTAGTAAACGATTCGATGACGTGGATTGAAAAAGAAACGAAAATCGAATTTTTCAAAATCATTGTATATAATATAATATTATATTACAGTCATAAATAATCTTCGCGCTGCGGCCGGTTCGCGTAATAAAATAATCATGCTATTCAGTGTTATCCGAATGCTAATAACTCTGTCAATATTTTTTATTTTTTTTTTCAATCGAGTTTTGTGTCATACCTAAAATTGTAGAGAAAAATAAAAGTATGATACATTACAGTTTTTAGAACATTATATTTTACAAATTGGCCATTTTGAAAAATTTAAAAAATACAATTTTTTTTTTTCAGTGATTATGAGATGAAAATAAAAATTTAATTTTTCTCTATATTTGTAGACGTAATACAAAACCCAATTGAAAAAAAAAATGAATATTTACAGAGTTATCAGCACTCAGATAACATTGCAGTAGGATACCTGTATATTATACGTTTTTTCTCACGAAGATATTGATATCTCCTGAGATTATAAAGATAATGAAATTCTGTTGTTTTTTTTTTTTTATATTTTACTCACAATAATAAAGACTAAAAATATTTTTTATGTTTTGGTAAAAAAACTACTTTTCATTTTATTATTTTTGACAAATTTGTTGAAAGCCATTTCATTAGAGTTTATAGAACCTCTTCTGAAAATGTTGACGTTAAAATTTTTATTTTCATTAAATTCGTGACTTTTAATAATTTTTTTTAGTTTTAAGACAGAAAATGTGTACAGTCAAAATTAGCCATAATAATAATGATCAATATTATCAAATAGGTACGATTACAGCACGCTGCATAGTTATATGCAGTTTTCTCTGAACTTTAAAATCGCGAATTTAATGGAAATAAAACGTTGTAACGTCAAAATAATTTTTTAAATTTTTTTATCAAAACCGTACAAATTTAATGCGAATTATAATAAAACGGAATTTGATTATTTTTATTATCTCCGGAGAAATTACTATGGGTACATCTTCATGGGGCACCCTGTATAAATAAGACCAGAGTAAACAAATGAGATAATCAAGTGGCGTATATCATTCACGCATTATATCTATATATTTATTTATATATATATATTATATACGGATAATAACGTGTGTGTATATAAAGGGATCCGGCTTTCGGTTTTCGGCCATTCGGATTGCAAGGCAAATAAGGAAAAAAAAAAAAAAATATTATAGCCGCGGCGCGTGTCGACACCCCGTCACGTTTTCTCCCCCCCCCCTCCCCCCGTATATACATTATTTGTTTGAATTATTCATTTGCGAGCCTGGCCGTAGTCGCCGGTTAATAATCCGACTCTGTTATAGTATTATATCACCCTCGGAATAAAAAAAAAAAAAAATTCTATCGTAATCGTCCCGGCGGATTTTTAAACTTCAACTCGTCGCCTCCCACACGTAGTTCACATTTTATTTATTAGAATCTCCACTTTTGGAACGATGAACTGTAAATATTGTATAGTTGTGTATCGTTTTATTACCGACAACGACGCGGGTATACAATGTTTGTAAAGAAAAAAAAAATCAGCTACAACGGGCCCCCACCCCCTCCATCTGTCCTGCTCCAGATGTATAATACAAATTTCCTCGTTATTGACATTCGGCGGAGAGGGAGGGGAAAACAAAATAAACGCAAATATATTGCCGACGACCGCTGCACCGGTGTGTTTCGCGCGAAACCAATTCCGTTTTTAGAATGAATGTGAAACCCAACGCAAATAAAATATACTTTTCGGAAGTGAAGAAGTCATTATAATACATATTACTAATATATTATTGTGAGGGTATACATATATATATATATTATAATATAATACCCGAGCCAACCTGTCCCTTTCCCAACACCCCCATCCCACACTCGTCCCGCAACAAACGAACGGAAAGTGGGAAAACGCCGGTGGTTTCAAATGGTTTCCCGGTGTAGTGCAATAATAATTAAATCGTCGTGTCCTATTCTTGCTGCTTGCTGCAGTCTGATGACGGACGCCGTCGCGTTTTTCCCTTTTTTTTCGTTTTTTCTTTTTTTTTTTATAAAAGCGCATAACTCGTGTTTATATTTGCTCGATAAACATCGATTAAAAATACACCGAAATTCAATCACGTCATTATATTATAATACCGATTCGTGTACGGCCGCAGCAGAGAGTGAATCAACGGTCCCGGTGTATAAGGTCTACAAAATAACACAAAAGCACCTTGTCGGCGAATACGTACGAGTATTTTTTTTTTTTTTTTTTTATACATATATACATCCCTTTCGATCCACGCGTTTATCTCAGCGCGTTTGAAAAAAAAAAAATCCGAAATTTATGTTGGTTATTTTATTTTTTTCTGTATTATGACCACGACCTAGGCCCGTTTTTGGTTAGTGAAAATCCTGCGAAACCCATCGCGCAATTTCGGGAAATTCGGATTTTCTTAATTTGAAACATTTATCTATAATTTCATAACGAGTTTATATAAAAAAAAAAAAAACTCTTTTTTTTAAATTTCAATATATGGAACAAGCACTATTTTATACGTAGTAAATATCATAATTTTTTTTTTTTTTTTTTGTCAGGATGATAATGCGTTAAGTGAACCGACAATCACAGCCGACGATTTTTGGGATGCCTTAAATACTACAAGCCCGTCTTTGCAGCAATCCGATATTGATCACTTTGAAGAAATGTAAGTTGTTTTTTTCTATATAATTCGACCGTGCCCTTTGTTGTACAAAACCGCGTCTAAATAATAATAAGTCCTAACAATCATAATAAAATATGCATTTTCAGACATAAATTGTTCAGCAAGGAGAAAATGGCGAATGCGAACATTAACATGACAAAACTACAAAAAACGACTTATGCGTGATCTCCAGGGGTTATTTTTAATAATTTATTTGTTGTAAACTGCAGGTATGATTACTGGTAAATTACTGGTGATCGTTAGTTTCAATATAAAACGGTGTTAGACCTCATAACATAATATGTGTTTTTTGTATTTTATCCACAATTATTGTTATTATATTTTGCCACTGAAATGATTAAATTACAAATAATGTTGTCTTTAACTGTACCCAGCGGGATTTAGAAATTTTAGGAAATATTTTCACTGTGTGGATTTGTCCTTTATATATAGCCTTTTAAGGTATTAATATGTATTCGAAAGTCAAGTGTCATTAAAGTTAATTTTAATCATATTAGTTAAGAGAGTAACTAAACATTATTCTGTCTATGGTCTATGCAAATTTATCAAAAGAGCAGAAGGAAACAGAAGTTAATTTAGTAGAAAATTTAACATCCATTTTTATACAAACTATTAACTACTATACGTATTATGAGACTACAAAATATGTCATAGATTAGAATAGAACCCTGGGTATTATATTGAGAAATTTTAAACTGCTTTTGCTTTAAATTTACAATGTTAAACGTTTGTACAATTATTTTTGTTCTATATTTTAATGTAAACATTTTAATTCACAATTCACTATATTTAATTCAATTTTTTATTTATACATATTACATGATTTTTAGGAGAAATAATTTTGTATAATTAGTTAATATATGAACTTGATGTAAAATAGTATCAACTATTAAATATAACAATATATACCTGGAAATATGTTTAGTAATTTTATACCTATAACTAATTATATTCACATTCCCATATGAAAATTCTGAGCACATCAGTGACTATAACAAAGTTACAAATAGAAATTTGGAAAGAGGTTGTGAAGGAGGTGCTATAAATTTAAAATTGTGTCATTATTAGTACTTATTATGTCTAATACAATACAAATGTTCTCATTTTATTCCTCAAGAATTTTGTTACAGTTGTAATAAGTATCATAGGTACACAATATGTAGATATTAGCAATAAAACATACATAGTTGGAAATTTGTCTTCATAAGACTTTGTTGAAAAATCCCTGAAAATAGAGACTATCTTCTATTGCACTGTATATATATATATATATACATATTCATAATTTCCCCCTAATTTAGTGCACTTTTAATAGCTTCATTTGAATTAAATTAGCTCAAATTCGGGATTTAATGTTTTATAAGTGGATTTAAGTAATACAAGTTGTGTTGAATTTCAATATGAATTTCGCCATGTTTAGTAGGAGTGTGTTTTTTTAGCTTTGAATGTCCCTACTCACACTCCAATGAAATCAGGGGGATGAAATTATTTGTATGCATGCCAATAATTTGGAGATTTCCATTTTCACATCCTCCCCCAACTATTTCACATAACATCATACAAATATGTATATGTTCAAATTTCATTTTTTTTTGAAAGTACTGTAAGTAATTTTAGTTTAATTTCATTTATTGTTAAAAAAAAAAGTGTTCCTTTAATAAAAGATAGGTGGAGGAAAAATTCATCTCTAGTTCTTTTGTTTAGGTTTTTTTTTTTTTTAAAGCTTCGAGACCATTTTTTGGAATATCAGAAAAATTTAAAAAAAATAGTTTCCTTTTACCTATCCACAATCTACATTCAAATTTCATGATTGATAGATTTTCTAGTTATTTTCAGTTTTCTTCATTAAATTTTTATTTTATTATTTTCGGAAAATTTTAAGATAGCTATTCTGTGGAGTTTATCTTTCTAAACATTTTAATATATCACATTTAAATCTGATGTATAGTTTCTAAGTAACAGCCGTTTTAAATTTTACTAATCCGTATAAAAATCGGTGTTTTTGAAATTGAATAAAAATATAAATATTTGTAGTCCTCATCCCTGCGAATAATATTAAAAAAATTGAATTTGATTATCTTTATTCTTTCCGGAAATATTCAAGGGGTATATATTTGTGGGACAACCTGTATATATGCCACACACTATATGAATACTATTCCAGGATCACTATCAAAATTGAGCATATCAACTTTTTTTTCGTTTGGAACCGACAGTACTGGAGGATCTATGTTAACGCATCACTAATCCAGTGCTGCCATCGTTTATTCGAACCATAAAATTTAAGATCAATGTAGAAGTAGTAAATAAAAATGCACAATTTAAAATACACACGTTGTAAGGTTGTGTAAGCAAGTTTTCTACTACGTCCTCTCACATAACCTTAATGCTAACTTAAACCTAATGCCTCTGATTCAGACCCAGATCCGTTCTGTCTTTCTTGGCACCGAATCATCACGATTTCCTGATGCCTTAGTCGAGATTGTCGTTGTCTTCTAGTGGCACAGACCGTCGGGCAAGGTTTATGTACTTGTCTTCACTTTGGCAGTTTGCTTCCTTGTGGCAAACGACTCCAAAGCTGTGGTACGCATCGTACATGTTAGGCTCCATGCAGTCCCTATTGATGTGGCCGTAGTCATGACACTAGTAATACCTGGTGGGCTCAGGAGCTCGGACTCGTACTCTAAACTAAACCCAGCCGACGTGGACCCGCGTGACATTAGCATAGCCACTGCACGTGACGCCCAAACAAAAACCACCTAGTGGCACGACTTGAGTGCCCAGATTGCAGTTACCATTATGCTGGTTTTGTTGGCGGCAACGTCAGTCACCGTCATTCCCCGGAACCGCGGTACTCAGTTTTTCGTTGATGTTTATATTTCTTTTTAGATTTTTCTATCAGTAAACAACTTTTCGAAAAAAAATTTTGCTCCGATGTATAGAATGTTCCTTTTAGTAAATGTGGTAGCACTTTTTTTAAAAAGAAATTTTCTCTAATTGATACATAAGAAAAATCGTTTTTCGATTATTCAAGGGATTTTCAATATAATTGGGAAAAATCGGAAAGACAATTATAGGTAATACGACAAATAGGTATTTATAGCGTGCCACGGCGTTACCGATTTCATCGTTTTTAATTTTTGCAAACTATGTTTTCTACCAGAAATATTGCTCCAATCGAAAAATAACCAAAGAACGACTTTGTTCCTTTAAGTATACGGCCACCGTAGGAGATACTGGGGCCGATTGTTACAGAGCTCCGTTCGCGGGCACTGTTGTCGGTGACAATGACCAGCACCGGTCTCCCTTGTATATTCCTCGTTTATTTTTCTGTTTAAAATAATATAACAAAAATGTACGATTAGTTTCAGCTACGAACCCGAAAACTTAGCCTAGTGTCCAGCACAACCGTCGTGCCTTGTCTTTAATAAAAAAAAAAAAATAATAATAATAATAATTGCAGTCGTTGAGCATTGCCGACTCTCCGGTCCGCTTCGCGTCACCCCTTAAAACAGATTCGAATTACGGCAACGTTCTCGGTTATTATAATTTTTTTTTTTCCATCGAAAAACTTCGAGAAGTACCTAAATTTGTTTCATTTGTAAATATACTAAAGTTCAATTCATTCACTACCCCCCCCCTCCCCTCCCGCCATCTCCCAATCGCCAACCAGCCTGGACGTTTACTACTTGTCGACACCGTTCACAACCCTTCCTCCCGCGGTGCGTAATATAATAAATGCACGCAACACCGGAGTTCGCGCCCGCGACATATTGGATTATGTTATTATTATAACGTTCTCGCGTTGTGATTTTAATAATTCGTTTCGCTTTTACCGCGTGAAAGAACAAAATATAATAATCTCCCGAGTGGTTTTTGTAATCGCAATGTGCGCATCAGTCGTCGTAATTTAATAACAATATTATCATATGGAAATACTCGTTCTTCTGTAATGGTAGGTGTATTAAAACCGCTCCGCTGAAATGCGCGCTTACCATATTATTAAACGACCGTCGGTTTGTTGCGCATCATGGCCGTCTTCGTTTTGCATGCCTCTTAGCTTTTAATTACCGCGGCACACGCGTTTGTATAATTCATCGACGTTTTGATAGTATTTTATTCTGAAAACATCAGCCGCGCGGAATCGCTATACTTGATTTTACATCTGCGCATTGAAAAAAAAAAAAAAAAAAAAAAACACGTTTTACGCCTTTAAAATTGTCCTCTTGACGGGAATCTAGGTGGACGTCTATGGTGAAAGTTAATTCGGCGGACGGATAAATCGGCGAAAAAATGTATTTAGTAAAAAAAAAAATACGAACAAAAATATTACAAATCTTTATGTTTAAAAATTAATATAAATAATAATTAAAAACCAATGTTGTACGACAAACTTGTTAAATAATTTATTATGACCTGATTTGAATAATTGTTCACCTTCTTTTTTTGTATTTTTATGGTTGTTTTTCATTTTAATATTTGCTTTTTATTATTATCAGTTTCAACGTGTACTATAATTTTAATATAGGTAATCTAATCTCCATTTGTGAACGTTCAAACATCTTCCAAATTGTTACATGATAACTACCAACTTTTACCATGATCTTTTAGATTCTGAGTGGAGCGAAGAAACTTATGGTTTTACAATGATGTTTATTTTTTTTTTTTATCTGTGAACGACTTTTCTACGAAAAACTTCGCTCCGATTTATAATGACACCAATTTTCCTAAAAGGAAATCTGACTGGGGTGGTACTCTAAGGAAGTCATTTTTTGATTGTCCCAGGAGTTTTCTCAACAAATAGGAAAACCGAGAAAAAATATAAGAAAACCGGGAAGACGGGAAAATATTTAATGCACGTGCAATTATTTAACCATAATACGACATATACAATATTTTTGATAAAGCAACACTATTAATTGAACTCCGCTCAGAATAGTTTTTCGTTAGCAATGTCTAATCGTTGCTTACAGGTATAAATTTAATTACCTATAACGGTGGTTGGACTCGTCCCCGTTGTCCTACGACAGCTTTTTCAACCACCTGTTACCTACTTTTCGTACATTGTCCCGTTTTTTTTTATAATATATAATAATATGTATAATAAGTATATAATAATTTAATAAACATTAAATTTCCCCTCTACCTTCCCAAATCCGTATTTTTTTTTTGTTATGTCTGTAAACCACTTTTCTGCCAGAAGTTCTGTTTCGATCATCAACTTCAGGGCTAATTTCTAATAGAAATGTTGTCTAATTGGTGCATTAAAGTGGTCATCTTTTTATTTTCCTAGTAGTTTTATAACAATTGGGAAAAACCCAGAAAAATTGTTTAAAAACAGGGAAAATACACACGCAATAATTGTTTCTGTTTTTTTAGATTTTGGTGTTGTTGTTATTCAGTTAAAAATAATCGTAGTCATAATATTTTCATACATTATTTTAAATTAGCAGTTTTTTTTTTTTTATTTAATTTTTTATATTTATTTGCTGTAAAAATCTATTTAAAAAAAAAATTGACTTTAATTTATAAGTTTATTTGCAATTTTTGAATTTTTAAAATATTTATTTCGTTTTTTGAGGGAAACATTTTTTTGGCAATTCAAAAGTGTTCGAAAATTTGTTCTTGTGTCACTATATAAATACTTGAAATCTGTAACTTCGATTGTTTTTACACAGGCTTTTAAAATTCAAATGTTTATAAAATTTATTAATGACACGGTATCTTACGTAGGTACTATTTTCTAATTTGTTTGGAATAAACTTTTTCAACT